TTGTGAATTCTTCTTTGCCTTTCAGTGTTGCTTTACTACCTTTAAAAGTACAGTTTTACTTTTTTGTGGTAAAACTTACCCTTTTTCCCTCTCCACTATGAGGAGTTTTACTTTTGATTTCATGCCTAGAAAAGCTTCTCAGTGCCCTCGTAGGTGCCAGATGGTTGGGGGACTGGATGCCATTCCAGCTGCCGTTTTCCTGTTGAATAATGGTTTGTTTCAGAATGTGTAAGGGTAAAACAAATGCTTACGGAAGGATTGCTGAGAACCAGTGAGGCTAGCTGGCCCGGCATGCACTCAGGTGGGCAGGGATCACCACAGAAATTTCCTAAGCACACGAAGCAGGAGGTGCCTCCCTGCTTTGGGCTCTGGTCCTGAAGAAAGCTTCCGTCACCCCGCGGTTGCTAGTGCTCCTCCCAGGGGGCCTTGCGACCGTCCAGGGACCCGGGCCCGTGGAATGGCCCTGACAACGGGGCAGCTCGGGGAGCCTGCGTTCCGGGAGGAAGGCCCCCAGAGAATACGCCAGCGCAGGGGCTGTCCTCTGTGACTGATGAGCTCAGGCCTGGCCCCTGGAAACCGGCTCCTCTCAACCCACGGATCTGCCCCAGAGCTGGCTTCCCTTTTAATAGGGGCACACCTTCCGGAGTGTCCCCGTTCTCAGAACTCGGCAGCAGAGAATCGGCAGGAAGAGAGCAGGCTGCATGAGGGAGAGGAGAACCCCTGGGAGGGGCTTGGTGCTTGTCCCTGGGACTCCAGGGGGGCTTGGGGATTGATGCCGAGGATGTGGCTTTTGGCTCCCCGGACACGCCTGGGCTAGCGGGCACCGAGAGCCCTCCCCGCCATGGAGTACATCCTCTTCGTGCTGTACTTCTCCTTTTTCCTCTGTCTCTGCACCCTGGTGTGCCTGTACTTTTCCGGCTGCCAAGAGATGACCTATAAGCATGAAGGTACGCGGTCGGCTGCGGGGATGGTCGCGGTTACGTGAACGTGCATAGCTGCGACCTGGATGCCCCTTCCTGTGATGGCGATTGTTGGGAAGGACCCGGGTGAAGAGAGGGGCGGCTGAGAGAGCTCGGAGTCAGATGAGGGTTTCTGTGGGATGCTGCCCCGCCCCGTTTCCTCTCCATCCCATATGATCTGCTAAGAACGAACACCTCTATCTACCCAACATGTTAATGGCAAAGAAATGTTTACTTTTCCGTCATTTTTGCCGAAATCACACTTTAAGTATTTGGATGCATTTGTTAAAAGGTGTCAGCAAGGCAAGACTTCGGTGGTACGGAAAATGGAAGCCTGGAGGGGTGCGCCCGTGTGTAGAAGACACTCCTGAAATGAGCAAAGATGGACGTTTGTGCTCGTGAATTTCCTCTCCTTAGGAAATTCCCCGGGAGTTTTTGAATGGTGGAGGCTCTGAAAACTCGACAGCTTCTTTCATGCTTGGCATTTTTAAAAGCCCGTTAGGAGCCAAGCATTTGAGAACCAGTATTTCCGGGGGATTCTCTCATTCCGTGGAGACTAGTGTGTTATTTCATGTCTATGAAAACACAGTATAAGGCAGTATTGCTTTGTCTTCAAAGAAGACAGCCACCAGGTTTTCACTTGCAACCTTGAAATGTCTTTTTCTATCTTGTTTTTTATGAGTAAGGTCATAAATAGATGTGGTACATTTTGGCTTCCGGTGTAGAACACTTAAAGACAGTAACCCTCAGAGGACTCACCCAACCCTTGTGTCTTATAACGTGGCACAGTCTTTGCTCTGTACTGTCAGCCTCTTTACACAATAAAACCCCCTCTCTAAAAACAGACAAACGAACAGGCAAACAAAAAATTCATCCAACCCATATGTTGTACAGGGGGCAGGCAGGGTCACAGTCCACTCACTGCTGCCCTGGAAACGGGGTGTGCTGTATGTATAAATGTGGATTCATCTCCTTTGTGGCTGTAGGGTTACAATTTGAATGCCCTTTGGTGCCTGATCCTGCCCAGAGCTGCTTGCTCCTCCCTCACTGCAGCATGCTTCCTTGGGCTCTTGGGCTCTGAGACCGCATCATACTTCAGGGGGCTCCACTTGGGTCTGGGGATTGGCTGTTTACGAAGGTGCAGCTCCACTTTAAATGCATTGGGTTTTGACAGAGGACCAACACGACATGACTCTTGTTTCAGAATCATCACCCTGACCGCCAGGTTATGGGACAAGGGCAAGAGGGGGAAGGGCAGTAGGGGGTGGTTTTTTAAATTTCATTGAGAGATGATGGTGGCTTGGACCAGGATGGAAGCACTGGAAGGGCTGAGGATGGAGCCAGCAGCCCTGTATTAGGGCTCGATAATTGAGTACTTAGCTAGCAGTCCCTCAAAGTTTCAAAGGTCATCCTAGGTACTGGAACTGAGTCATCGTCCCCAAGAATGGCCCATGATGCCTGCTAGTGGGTGACCACTGCTCGGCATCCCATCCTGGTCATGTGGAGCCTGTCTTGATGTTCCCTGGGGCTCGTTGGTGGGCCGGGAAGCCGCTCTCTGGCACTCCGCAGTAGCAAACAGACCTGTCCCCAGAGGCCTCGCAATTAGCAGTGTTTACAAGAAGTAAGGTCAGCTGAGTGGCTGCCCAGAAAAATAAGGAGCCTGGGGCCCGGGTGAATGCGTGTGGGCAGAGGAGCTGAGCGCGGGAGATGCGTCCGCCATCCGAGGTCTTGGCCCCAGCTCCCCAGAGAGGAGTCGTCTGGAGTACTGTTGACACCTGAACTCGGCGGAGCTTCTCCTCTGGAGCGGGGATTTGAGTATATGAGTGTCTCCAGCCTCCACTCAGAAGGAAATGCCTTTGACTTTGATGGCGCCCAGTAGGGCCTTACATTCCTACCTGGCAGACTCCCTGGGTGCCCAGCCAGGTGGCAGCCTGGCTGACGCTGCTGCAGGAATGTGGGGAAAGGGTGTCACTTGCAGACCTAAAACTGTCTGTGCATCAGCAAGTTCGCTTGGCACTGAGTTCATTAGCAGAGACGCTCATATAACAAGCGATATTTCCTGAGTGTGTCGGACCCTGGGCCACTGTGGGGAACAGAAGAGCCTAAATCCTTGTCCTCATGGAGCAAAATCCCTGACCTCCTGGGGCTTACACTCTGGAGGAGGGAGACATGTAACAAACATGCAAGCAGAATTGGTGACAAGTGCTGTGGAGAAAGATGAAGGGAGGAGGACTGAGCGGTGGGTGGGGGTGGTTTAGTGGGGTTTTGACAAGATGGTCAGGGACACCTTTCTGGATTGGGCTGCACTTGTGAAAAGACTTGGGGGAAGTCGTGTGTGTTCTGGGAAGAGCATCTCAGATGCTGGCGTTTACCCCAGTGCGGTGCAGAGCCGCTGGGTTTTGAGCAAAGGACCAGCACGACATGACTGTTGTTTGAAAATCGTCGCTCTGCCCGCCAGGTTACGGGACAAGGGCAGGAGAGGAAAGGACAGTAGGAGGCAGTTTTTTAAATTTCAGTGAGAGATGATGGTGGCTTGGACCAGGGTGGCGGCGCTGGTCCATGAGGGGTTGGATTCTGGGTTGAAGCTGGAGCCAATAGGATTTCTCCCAGAGAGGCCTGAGAGAATGAGGAGCACAGGGGGACCTCAGTTTTGGGCCTGAGCAACTGAAAAGGATGGAGCTGCTGGAAGCAACACATGTTAGATGATGGGAGCAGCAGGTTTGGGGGTTAAGTCGGCGACCACTAGCCCCGCCCCACCATGGAGCTGTGGAGGAGGCGGCTGAGTCAGGAGTTCCAGGGTGGTGCATTCCCACCCATATTAAATAAACAAAAATGTATCTTTTTCTAGTTTCACGATGTTTATTGATAGGTACAAGTATATAAAATCAGGGCATGAACAGGACTTGTTAAGTTAAGTAGACTTCATTTCAGTTCTGTAACAAGAGGGACCAATTCAAATTCTCAGCAGGGGTGAGAGGGGCTCTGGGAGAAGCCCGTTTGGACCAACCGGTGGGAGCCTGGGGCTTGGCTCTGGATTTCATTACCTTCTTTCTTCATGGTGAAGTGTATTCACTGATTGTAAAAACAAATACAGATCTTTCTCAGGGGCTATTTTGGGGAAAAAGCCTGTGTTCCTAGGACACAGGATGTTGATCTGGTGATTGGGGTCGATGTCTGCAGCCCCAGGGGACAGAAGCTCTTTGTGGCAGGGACCAGGCCTGGTTTTGATTTAGTCACAGCTCCCAGACCCCACCCAGCATCTGACCCGTGGAAGGCGCTCAGTCTGTGTTTGCTGAATGAATGAGTGAGTGAAGCCCTGTCTCCTGTGACATTTGGGGTGGGAGAAGTCCTGGGGAGGGTAACGGGGAGGCCGGCAGACAAAGCATTGAAATGATCTCTGTGAGTATATGTGGATCCACTGGACTATTCCTTCTGATTTTTGTAAATGTTCCAAGTTTTCTATAATAAAAAGTTAAACTTTTGCCTCTTGAGGTGCGTCTGGTGAGGACACCCCTTGCTTGCCCAGCCAGTCAGAGCCCCAGGTTCCACCTGTGGACACCCTGCCCCTTTCCCCTTTCCCTGTGTCTGGTGTCTAGAACCCGACATCTCATGGGGTCCCGAACCCGACATCTCATGGGGTCCGTCCCCCCTACTCCGAACAGCAAGGATACCACTCACTGTGTTACTGCGCCAAGCCCGGCACTCGGTGGCCTCACTTTGTGCTTGCAGATGGGGTGGGGGTTCTGTGTCCATCTGATGGAGAAGGAAGCAGATGCTCAGAGGGGCTGACTGACTTGCAACAGGTCATCAGTTCCTGAGCCTGGATCTAGGGTCTGGCCAGCACACTCTGGCAACCCTCCATCCTCCGACCTCCTTTGGCCGCCTCCTTCCCACTCAGCGATCACAGACCCCACCACCCGCCTCCTGGGATGCCTGGTGGCCCAGATGCTCATCGTAGCCCCTTCTGCCCTGGGATGAGGGGGCGAGGGGTCCGGGCGGTTCTGAGTCCCTTCTTCATGTCCTGCAAATTGCCTTTTACAGAAGCATGTTGTGGAGACATTTTTTGGATTTGATGAGGAGTCTGTGGACTCGGAAACACTGTCAGAAACGTCCTGCAACACAGACAGAACAGACAGGGCTCCGGCCACGCCCGAGGAGGACTTGGATGACGTAAGCGGACCTCACCCTGGGGATGCTGGCAGGCAGCCTCCGGCCTCTGGCAGCTGCAGGCGTCACTCCCTCACTGCGAGACTTAAACCTGCAGGACCGTGTGATCACAGCCCACCTTGTCCAGGGAGGGCGAGCCCCACTTCCGTGGGATCTAAGAATGGCAACAGGGGCGCCACCCTTCCCTTGCCCAGCACGGATCTCACAGAGGAGACCTGCGGCCGCTGCGGTGTTGCTTCCCCTTTGTCATTAAACTGCCACGTGGCATCTGTCCCTTGTTCCCCTGAGCTCACACACGCCTGTGCACACACACACCCCGTCACCTATATTTGTTCCCCTGTGCTCACACATGCCTGTGCACACACACACACACCCCGTCACCCATATGTATACAGATGGCACATCGTTGTAGGAATGGGTCCAGGCAGCACTGAGAAGGGTAAAGAGCAGAGCACAGCCCATCTGGAGCCTCTCACCCCGCTCAGCACCTGCTGCTTTCCTGACCCACCAGCTCCACACATCCGGGTTCATGACCACAGCCCTCCAGGAGCTAGAGTCACAGAGGAGTGAGAGTGGCTTTACTCCCCTGCCCCGCCCCCGCCAGCGGAAGCACTCGGGAAGCCCACCTCAAACGTGATCATGTCAGACACATGCTTTTGGGTTTGCTTTTCTCACCAAGAATAGGTAACAGGCGTCTTTCAGCACCAAACACCGCATTCGCCGTCATCCTCGGTCAGGGTCTGCACATGCATTTACCTCGGGGGCCCCGATGAAGGGCATGATGTCGATGCCAGCTCTTCACAGTGATGCGCTTTGGGTGGTGGTGTCCTTCGGAGCTGGCTGGGGCGGTGGCAGGGGAGCCGTCACAAGGAGGTGTTCACGGTGCTGTGGTCGGGCTGGCCTGCCCTTGCTCCCTGGCCCACGAGTCGAGCGGTTCCCAGGGCCCACGGAGCTCCTGGGAAGGGCACTGACTGCAAAGACAGCTTCTTCTCCCGAGCCCTCCACTCCAGAGATCCAGTTAGGTCCCCGCCATGACCGGTTGGTTACATAATTGGCTGCAGCAGCTGTGAGATCCAGATGTTTGCTTTTGTCTCGCTGGAGTCGGGCACTGGAATTCACATCAAGTCACGTGCTTCATCATGTTTTTCTTTTCTATGACGTTAAGACAACAACCCGGGAGGAGGCTGACCTGAGGTTCTGCCAGCTGACCAGGGAGTACCAGGCCCTGCAGCGAGCCTACGCCCTGCTTCAGGAGCAGGTCGGGGGGACGCTGGATGCCGAGCGGGAGGCCCGGGTAGGTGTGGTGGGTGGGGCAGGCGGCGAGGGGCCGGGTGGTGGGTGGCACATGGCCTTTCCGGCAGCGGGATTCGTAGAGGGCTGGGGGAAGCACCACAGTCTCCCGCCCGGGAGATGTTCCAGCATTGGGCAGACCCCACGGAAACTATCTTCCCATCCTCAGCGTGACAGCAGAAGTTGCAGAAGATACACTGCTGCTCTGACACGTGCCGTGTGGACCGTCCATTTGCAAGAATGATTTCGGAATTAAAGAGCCAGTGAAGAAATTAGACTTTAACTCCTCTCCCTCCTGGCTGGGAAACCCCCAAGAATATCCCCGGGGAGCCCTGGCAGGGACCGTGGGGGTGCTCCCAGCCCACCAGGCACGCCGGTCCCTGCAGTCACCCAGGTCTGAGCCTCGCTAGCCCTCGTGCTGGGCCGAGCTCTGCCTTCCGGTAGCGTCCACTCACTGGCCATTACCCTGCCTTCAGGAGTCGCATAGACCGGGCCTGCTGGCCCTTCCTTCTGAAGGCGAGGGGAACTCCCGGGGAGTGCACCCCTGAGGCCAGTGTTTCATCCCCACAACAGCCCCACAGGGCAGGAGGTGGCGGATGAGGCTGGGGTGGGGCGGGCCTTGTGCTACAGCCGAGTCCAGCCCGTACCCTGGACATCGGACAAGGTGCACTGCTTGAACTTGGTTTGAGCTGAAGCCTGTGGTTTTTATTGAAAATGTTATCTACTTGCCACATTTTAAAGTCAAGAGATTTCACATAGAAATCGAGATTCCTGGGGCTGGGGGTAGGGGTAGGGGACGGTACAGCTCTGTGGTAGAGCACGTGCTTGGCATGCACAAAGTCTTGGGTTCAATCCCCGGTACCTCTATTTTTTTTTAAATTGGAAAATAAAAACAAACAACATAAATATCTTCTGTTATGAAAAAAAAAAACCCAGATTCCTGGCTTCTCAGAACATCGATAAGCACCCAGCTTCCTGTTCCACATAGTCGCCTTTGGCTACAACGGCTGAGTGGCCGTCCTGCTGAGATAGGACACACGCCTCCAGTCTGCCACAGTCCCCACCCCTCCCTGTTGCCCCACACCCAGTCAGCTTCCCTTATGTACAACACCCGCTTGGCCCTTGGGGTACTTTGGCTTCCAGCCCTGGCTGTAGGTGATGAGGGCCCACGAGAGGCGCTGAGCGCGGGTGTTGCTGGTGTCAGTGATGCAGCTGCTGAACTTGGCCAGGAAGCTGGGCTGCACCTGGCAGGTCTGGCTCACTCACCCCCGTGAAGAAGCTGCAGTGGCCTCATCTCTAAAATCAAGGAGGAATAACACTGATGGCCTCTCAAGGCCTTGCAGTCCTTAACCATGTCGCACGTGTAGGTGACAGAGGCCCCTACCTGTAAGCAGGCAGGCCAGGTTGAACGTGTGCACCTAAGGGGGACCCATTCCTCAGATACGGAGGCAGTACAGTCCTGTCCCCCACTCCATCTCCATCATAGGCGACCTGCTCACCTCCTAATCTTTTTATTCCAGACTCGGGAACAGCTCCAGGCCGATCTGCTGAGGTGTCAGGCCAAGATCGAGGATCTGGAGAAGTTACTGGTTGAGAAGGGACAGGTGAGCAGAAACGGTCACGCACCCTGCAGCTCCTTGCCTTCCTATCCCCTTGGCAGTGTCGCTGGGGCATGTCCTGTGGGTCCGCATGGTTTACTCTGGAGACAGGAGGGAAAAAAACACTGGCAGAGCCCAGGCGAGAATGTCCCAGCTAACATGCCTCTTTAACAAGTTTTTAAAAAATCAACCGTGTTATGAGAGCCTAACTTGGCTTCTTCTTTGTTCACCACACGCATGAGGATAGGAGACAGTTCCAGGAGGCAGGTGGCCACCACGGTCTATTCTGAGTTGAATCTGGCAGAAAAGCTGCTGTCGCCAACGAGGATGCAGGCGTGGGGCTGGACGAGTCCCTGCAGCCACGCTGAGCGAGGGCAGAGGCGGCCTCCGGGCTCCGTGCTGTGGCTGTCACAGGGAGACCTGGGCCCCTGAGCATCTTAGCTTGGAATTACCTCCATGAGTGAATTCTCTGAATTTGAATTTTCTGAGTTCATTGACAGTGGGCCACGTGAGAGAGGCAAAGCCTGGGCGCAGACCCATCTCTGGGGGTGGGGGGCCCTGAGGGGCTCCAGGGGGGCCAGCGCCTCAGAGGCTAGCATGTCAGAGCCACGCCAGCCCAAGGGTCGGTGCGGGTGGGCCACGCTCTCCACGACAGTGGCTCCCTGTGGAGAGACCCCCAGGACTTCTCAGTGCCTTACCACGAGGTTTAGGTCCTGCTCAGCGTGCTGCCTGTCCTCCTGTAGGCGGAGGGGCTCCGCTCCATGTGGTCACTCAGGGTCCAGCGCTGGAGGCAGCGCCATCTTGTACCGGTCTGTCCACGGTGCGTCCTCCTCGGCAGGGGACAGGAGAAGCCGTTCTCTGCCTCGGCACTTTTCTTTGGCCTAAACAGTCGCGTGGCCCTGCCTACCGCAAAGGTGCCAAGCAGTGTGTGAGCAGTTGGAGTGTCTGGTGGCACCACTGCCCCAGCCCCCGAGCAGGAGGTGATCTGAGGGGGTCGGGCGCGGGCAACCAGAGGCCCTGTGGTGGAGCACAGGGAGCAGGAGGCGAGTGTTAAGGGAAGGCGTTGTGAGAGGTTCCAGGTGGGTTAACGGGGACCCGGGAGGAGCTGCAGAACGGATGGCTTAGCCTGGCTCTGACTGGTGTCCAGTCAGTGGCATGAGGGCTTGGGTCATGACCAGGGTTCAAATTGAGGCTGTTGGCTAGCAGCCAGAATCAACAGGGGGCAGGTGAGCGACCAGCCCTCAGGAACTGGTGGTCACGTAACCCTGGTCCAGAATTTTCCACGGAGGCAGGAGAGCAGGGAAGAGCCCACGCTCTGCAGCCGGCCCCCCTGCTCAGATGCTGGCCCTGCCACTGACCTGCTGCACAACCTCGGGCAATTTCCACGATCTCTTGTGCCTCAGTTTCCTCATCTTTAAAATGGAGCCAGCAATAGTACTTAACACACTGGGGAAGAGAGCTTAGGGAAGCTCAGCAGCAGCTGGGATGGATTCCGGCTGACAGATGAGGCTGTTTTCAGACTGTCCTGTTCAGAACACTAACCCGCCGCTGACCTCAGCCTTCCTCCTCCAGGCTGGGCTCGTGGTCTGCAGATAAGTTAACCTCCCATCTGAGGGTGCTGAGGCCTGTTTGTGGGCCTGGGCTCCCCTCAGTTCCTGCCAAAGGAAGGGGCCAGCTGGGGACAAAACAAAGCCATTCCTTCCGCGAGCACTTCCCAGAGCGCCTGCCCTGCGCCAGGCTTGGTGCTCGGTGTGTGGAACGACGTATGAGTTACCGTCACCGCCCACCAAAGCCCCTCAGGCTTAGTGTTCACAGCAACAGACTGCCTGCTTGCAGCTCTGTGGGTCGGCAGTCTGGGTTGGGGTCAGCTGGTGGTTCTTCAGCTGCTCTCATCTGGGGTCGTTCTGAAGGCTGCAGTGTTGGTAGAGTGACTGCAGCTCGGTGGCCCCCAGTGGCCTCACTCTCCTTTCTGAGCACTGGTGCCAGGTCTTGGCCAGATCTCTCCTCGTGGTCCTCTCCTCCTCAAGGAAGCTGCGCTGGCTTCTTTTTCTGGGGGCCTGGGGGTGAACAGAAGGAAAGGCAAGCCCCAAAGCACAAGTACACACCACGCCTCTGCTGCCGTCCCCTTGCTAACACCCCAGTCACCCAAGCACATCACAGCTGAGCCCAGCCTCGCGGTTGTGGGAAGAGACACCGTGTCTCCTTGGGAGGAGCTGCAGGGTCATGTTGCAAAGGGGCACAGAGATGGGAGATGTTGCAAACCGCTTGCCACAGGAAAAAGGATGAATGGAACACAGCTCTGTCTTCCCAGGGACTCAGCCCGTGGGGCCAACCCAGGGATGACGCAGGGTGGTCAGTGTTGGCGAGGAGGGAAGAAGGAAGAAAGTTCCCTCACTTATCCATTCATCCGTCCCCCATGTCTGCTGCCCCCGGCTGTGTGCCGGGCACCGTGTGGGCGCTGGGGATGCCGGTGTGAAGATAGGCTTAGTACCTTGCACTCGTGGAATTTTCCAGGCAGACTCAGCCAGGCAGAGAGATGTGGTTCGGGCACCAGAGCCAGACGGAGAAGGGCGAGCAGGAGTGCGTCCCTGTAAGGACGCAGGTTGGGGTGTGGGCAGACCCTCGGCGTGGCCTAGACGCCGGCCCCCGGGCTGCACGAACAGCCGGGGGAGGGTGTGCGGTGCCACCTCGGTCCCACTGCAGCTGGTGTTCGGTCCACAGTGCTGAGGAGCCCCCGTGCCTCTGGGGAGTTTGAGCCGTGGAGGAGGGTGCTTCACAAGCCTGCCGTTTCTCTCTTTCATGTTTAAGGGTTTAAGGGACGGTGAGGTCCTTCTAACCGCTGTCCTTTCCTCACGCTTTTGCTACAAAGTTTCATGTTGAGCGATCTGTCCCACGGACGCTCACTTTGTTATTGAGCCGTCTGTTTGCGTCAATGAGTGTGAACATGTTTAGTACTTTCCCTTAGGATTCCAAATGGGTTGAGGAGAAGCAGCTGCTCATCAGAACAAACCAAGACTTGCTGGAAAAGGTACGTGGCATAAACACCTGGACCCCCTCCCAGAGAATCTTGGCGCCCACAGCCCCCAGGGACCTCAGAGGCCCACTCTGGCCACATGGGTCTCACCCGTGCCCTTCCTGGTGGCCCCAGGGGCCTAGCCAGCCCTCAGAGGAGGGACATCTTCCTCAGGTTGAATCAGGGACTGACTCCGGGGGTCTCCGGCCTGGTCCTGGTCCTGTCCTCTGGGGCGGGGCCCGCAGAGCTGGTTTAGGCCGCCCTGCAGACACACTGGGGCCTGCCCATCCTGTCCTCCTGGGGCCCCTGCAAACCTGGTAGGGGCCACCATCCCCCTGGGGCCCCTGCAGACGTCGTGGGGGCCGCCTGTCTTCCTGATACAGGCCCCCAGGCTGCCTCTGCCGTGGCCTTGGGTTCCAGGTCCCCTCCCCCTCCCGGTGGAGGTGAGAGGACAGGCCCCACCTTGGTTGGTCGTGGTCCAGTTCATGGACTAGAGGCCATGGCGCGGGCGGAGCTGAGCCAGTCCCTCCCTCTCCGTCATGGAACTTTCTGGTCATGGGACTTTCCAAGGAGTCAGCTTGGGGAGTAGATCTGATGCTTTGGGACAAGACCTTAGCTTTATTTTGTTCTTATTGGTGAACAGTTAGTGGGTTTTTTTTGTTTGGTTTTGGGTTTGTTTTTGATTTGGTTTTTTTTGGTACATTTACTGAGTTGTGCAACCATCACCACAGTGCAATTTTGGAAACATTCTCAGCCTCCCAGAAAGAGCCCTCGGGCCTATTTATAGTCAGTCCCCATCATTCACTCCTGAGCCTCAGCAACCTCCTTTCCATCCGGATAGCTTTGCTTTTCCTGCACCTCCCACACTGGTGGGATCGGACCTGGGTTAGGCCTCAGCTTCTAAGCATCCTAGGGCACGCCAGCTGGACGAGCCTGGCCTCACCCCTTGGGAGGGGACCTCGGTCCTGTCCCAGCTCTGCACTGACCCACTGTGTGGCCTTTCACCGTCCCATCTCTCCATGGGCATTGGGACAGGACCGGTCACTGTCCTGCGAGTCGGCCCGGTGCATCCGGAGAGATTTCCATCCTTGGTCCTGCTCACTACATTCTGGAAGGCACGGAAAAGTCTCTCACTGTGTCCAAATATCCCCCTGGGGGGCGGCGCCACCCCAGTAGTGATAGGGAGGAGGGAGCAATGGTGCCCATGACCCACCAAGGCCCTGGTTTCCATGCAGTCTTAGTCCTTGCTGCAGGCAGCCGCGGGGAGCTGCCCTGGTCCTCCTTGGACAAGCCTGAGGCACTAAGCAGTTAGGTAACTGGCCCAGGGTCTCCCAGTGGGTTCGGGGCCCAGGCAACCCCCCTTCCCAGACCTGTGCTTTCGGGACATCTGCTACCACCCTCACCAGAGCCCTCTGGGGAGCACAAGGCACGTGCGCCTTCCTGGTGCAGCTGGCCGGACTCTGGCTGGGCTGATTCTGCGCATCTGGGCCGGAGGAGCTCGGATGGGCTGGAGGTCGCTCTGACTTCCCCCACGACTGACCTCAAGGAAGGGACTTGATCGCTCTGTGCCTCAGTTTCCACACCATTTGTGTGCTCAGTAAACATCTGAAGGGAACCCCCTCTGGGCCAGGCTGGGGGCCGCAGGGAGGAGCCGGCAGGCCTCCGTCTGCGCCCTCCCCGGCCTCTGCAGCAGAAAGGGCGGCAGTGCCTGCACTGCACAGCCGCTGCGGAGCCTCCCCTCCCTGCCCTCCCTCTGGTCATGGTCCCTGTTCCCTCAGGCCAGCGCTCAGGGGGTCCGTGATGGAGGGGCATGTTCTCATGGCCCCTGGTGAGGGAGTGGTTCTCCCCTCCGTTAACCTGCAGGTATTTCTGCTCTAGATTTACAGGCTGGAAATGGAAGAGAACCAGCTGAAGAACGAAATGCAAGATGCAAAGGATCAGAACGAGCTGTTAGAATTCCGAGTGCTAGAACTCGAAGTAAGAGACTCTATCTGTTGTAAACTCTCAAACGGAGCAGACATTCTCTTTGAGCCCAAACTGAAATTCATGTAAAGTCCCAGATGTTTTCAAGCATGTGTAAGGGGACGTGTGACACTTTCTTTCTTTTCTTTTCTTTTTTTTTTTCAAATCTGTATGTTCAGAATAATTTCACTGCCTTAATATGTTCTGGAGAGAATGCTCACCGAAGTCTTTGGACGTGTACCAGAGCTAATATATTTATTGCCTACGGCTTGTTTTGCACTTAATAAAATAATTTGTTTTTGCAATATTTTGCCTTTTTTATTTGTGTTTCATTTCCATAACTACTTCTTTCCTGCATGCATAGTCACCTGGTATGCATTCTGCAAACTTGGACAGAAGCACTGTTGCAATTAATAGCACACCTTTTTAAGTGACCCTGCATGCATGAATCTCACCTTTTGAAAGAGCGGGGTCTGACCTGGCCCGCAGCTGACTCTATAATGTGTTTACTGCTAGTTTGGCCCTTTTTCTATTTGCCAAGGTAAACACAGGTAAGTGAACAGGGGGAAAGGAGATACTTGCATAGGCAGTTAAGCTTGTAACGTTGCTCCAACCCTTTGATCCAGTGAATGCAGAGCCGGGCATCGCAGCAGTGTTGGACTAAAACAATTACTGTTGATAACTCAAACCGCAACTCAGAACTACTCTTTAGCGAGAAGGGAGGTTGACCGTTGTTCACGGGTAGAAATCATGTTCCAGAACCTGCAGTGCCTTTCCCGTTACCAAGTCGGATCCGGAGTGAGGGTATTGACGCTTTCATTGCTTCCAGCTGAAATCTTGCCTCGGGTGTGTTACTGTATTGCCTTCACAATCCTTTTTTTGTTTTTGTTTGTTTCCATTTGAAACATCATCGACAGGTTAAACAGCACCGAGTCTGTGGCCGGTTCCCTAAGCAGCTGTGGTGACTCGGTCCTGCTCTCCCTCCGCTGAAGCCTTTGCATGTACAGAGCCGTCAGTAAAAGCGAGCTCCTTGGCCAGCGTTGGTGCTTCTCTGATTCTGTTTTCTTCTCCCGGCTTCAGTTGAAATTCTGTTTGCACTGCAGCTTCCCATCTTGTCCTTTGTTGTGTTGGCCCGAATGCCTCAGACACACGTCTTGCCTGAACGTGACCTGAGTCCTTGGTTCACTCAGCAGAAGTGGAGGCTACGGGAGGTCGTGGTTAACACGTCCGCGGCTGTTAGAAAATCTCCCACAGCTCTTTGCTGCTGCACATCTTTCTCGTCAGAATTCCATAAGCATTGGTCCTTTCACTAGAATGTTCTTTGTCTCCATCATCCTTTTGGAGCCA